AGAGAGAGATGCTTTTATTGTTAGGATTCCAACTAAGGTATTGTAGGACAGAAAAGGACATGGGCTTTGAGGTTAGCAGATCTGAATTGAAATTCTAGCCTTTATATATATTAGCTGTGTGATCATGGGAAGTTAGTAATTTTGCCTCTCAGTCTCATGTACTTCATCTGTAAGATAGTAAAATTAGTACTTGAACCTCCATGTGCAGTAAAGTATAGCTAAATAAGTTGGTTATAATGATGAAAGAGTGAGGTTAGATAAGTTAAAAGCAGACAGCTGAGAAGAAGAGAAAAAGAATTCTATCTGGGACAGTATGGAAGAATAGGAAAAATAGGAAACTAAAAAATAAAAAACAGTTTACCTTGTTTGGTTCGATTCTAACATTTTTCCTATTTTCATTTGTGTATATCTTGTATAATTTTAGCCCATTTTGAACATTTTCTTCTGTGATCAAATTATGAAACTTAAATTTTTAAGTCTTTTATTTGTTTTTATTGTAATCACATACGTTTTTGTTTAATTTGCAGGTGGCTGTTTGTTGCATCTGTTTTTTTGTTATTCTTCCTCTAAATCTTGTTGGTACAATACTTGGCCGAAATCTGTCAGGTCAGCCCAACTTCCCTTGTCGTGTCAATGCTGTGCCTCGTCCTATACCGGAGAAAAAATGGTAAAGTGAATGTTAAATCTTATGTGATTGTTTATCATAATATGAGTTCTTAAGACTGTTGTATACATATAACTTTAGAATTGGTATGTATTTATGAGAATGTGTTAAATTCGAGATTAAGAATGTGTTTGACTTTTCTGTCAGTCTACATTGTTTGAGTGATGATAAGTTATATCTTTATTTCATTTTCTGACTCTTGTGCCGTTTACAGATATGCCAAATACTTTGCTATACTAGTGTGTACAGGTGGGAGGGAAGTAAAGCTGGAATTATGAAGGCTTACTGCCCAATTTTGTAAATAAGGTTTTATTGAACACAGCCATGTCTAATTGTCCATTTACTCTCTTTGGCTGCTTATACTTTACAGCATCAGAGTTGACAGACCAGTAGTTATGTCAGAGATCATATTACCTGCAAAACCCAAAATATTTAGTATCTGAACCTTTACAGAAAAAGTATGCCAACTCCCGGTTTATAATTTCTTTTTTCTTTCCATGTATCTTATTATCATAGACAATATTGACACACATTTATAGACATATACATCCTTTTGAGAGATGAATTAAGACTGAAACCGTTAAAATTATCTGACAATTATATTGTTTATCTTTATTCTGGGATTGTATAAAATCTCTCAAATTCATGTTTGTCACATTTTATGCACAGAATATATTCTTGAGGACTTCCCATGATTCACAATTAATCCTGACAAGGGATGGCAAGCATTTTTAACAGCTGAACAGATGCCTCTCTGGCAATAGTATAAATATAGTATACATTCTGTTTGACCATTAGGTTTGAAATTATGATTCTTGATGGATTTTTGAGCTAGTTTGTCCTTTTTCAAAATTTGCACATAAAGTATTAATATATTTATATTCCAAATTTTATGCAAATTTGAATAAAATATAGTATGTATTTTACCTTTTAAAATTAGCACATTAAATGTTTGCTGATTTCTGCAAGTCTGATTCCCCCCCCCCCCAGGTCTTAATGATAGACATAAAATAGAACAGTCTTACTGTACTTTTATTTCATCTCATAACAATAAGTAAACAGTAGATTTTTGATTTTGTAAGAATAGCTGAACTGACTACATCTTTACAATAAGGATTATATAATGAAAAGCCTTTGTTCTTAGTTATTTTACCACATTATAAATATAACTTGCATGTAAGATACTTATACAAATAGATGATAATTACTCTGTGATCTTTTCTAGGTGTGAAAGCATATAGCTATATGTAGAAATGGAGGTTGAATAAAATAGCCCCTGTAGTTTAAAGGAGAGCAGTTAATTCTAGTCTCAGGAATTAGCCAGGTTCTTTTCTTTCCTTGGATTTGTGCTTGTGAGGGACTTTGGATGAAATTATTTTTATTAGTTTTATGATTTATATAAAATCACATAATTACATAGAATAATGGGTTTCACTCATGCAAATAACATACCCTTCCTAATTTTCCCTTCATGCTTCCTCATCCTCCTGATGCCCTCCTCTTTTTCAGTAGTTAGCTAGAAATTTTTTTTGAGTTTTTTTTTCAACTATTTTTTTCTAAATTAATATTAGATTATTTAGGCTCAATAATATCCAATGTTCACCTCATCACTGAAGGGTAAGGTTAAAGCCAGAAGTCACAAAAGTTCTTCTAGTTCCCTCCCTAGCTAATGAAGGAGGAGAATGAACCATAGGTGACCATCCTCACAAGAGAGGTGTCACGTTTAGGTGTAAGAACATGGGAACCAAAATCTCAATACTGTGTCTGACTTTCACTGATTGTGTAACCTTGGGAAGATCACTTTTAGCTTTTGTATTTGTTTCCTCTAAAAAAATGAAAGACTAGATTAAATGATCTTTAAGTTATTTATTTTTTTAGCTATCAATTTTTAAAATTTTCTTCTCAGTGTTTTAGTTTGTTCATCCTAGTGCTATTAGTTTAATGTCTTTTCTGTTCCAGATGCTGTGCTAGGGACTGAAATCCCTAGATGAATAGTTTCTGACTGCTAGAGTTTATAATCTAGTGAAGTCTGATGTGTGTAATTAGTTAGTTACAGAATAGTGTAGCAAGTGCAGCAGTGTACTTAAGTTCACGAGGTGATGGAAGAACAGGAGAAAGGGCCACCTCTTCTTGGGAGGCTCAGGAGAGGCTATAAAGGGCAATACTTGAGTCAGTGCTTGCAGGGAGAGAAGTGTGAGAGGAGAGGTGTTCCAGGTGGGGAATTAAAGATTGCAGTCAATAAACATTTGTTGAACAAATAAGTGAAGTTTGAATTTTTTTATTCTTTGACCCATTGCAAATCAGAACTTCTAATACCTTAATTGTATAATTTGTTGGGGGAAAAAAAATTACAGAGCCAAGGAGAAAGTAAATACATGACAAAGCCACAGTTTAGGACCTTCCTTCAGATGGGAGATCTGAAGACTCTCTCTTTCCCTATGGCTCTCTGTGTAGATGCCTATAGAGTTCTTAGAAGTTATTGAAAAGAAGTAACAAAGTAGAAGTAAACAGGTAGTCCTGGGGTTTTGCCAGTGCCAAAGATTTTGTTCCTTAAATACTACCTCAGGCTTTAATGTTGGAAGGAAAATTAATTATAACCTATGGCTAATATGAAGTCTTACCTACGTATTTTGTGCGTCTTTGGGGTTTGGTTTTTCTTTTACTGTTTTTTTTTTTTTWAAGTATTAAACATCACCTCTCTATTATCAGGATCATATTAGAAGTTTACTGTTAATTTTAATATTTTCCAGGTTTATGGAGCCTGCAGTTATCGTTTGCCTGGGAGGAATTTTACCTTTTGGCTCTATCTTTATTGAAATGTAAGTTTGGCCATTTGTTTATATTTTGAGGGATTTGATTGTAATGAGAATTTAGTGGATAGGATAGGTATAGAATCTTTAGATGAGTTGGCATCTGTATTAGTCCACTTGTGTCACTATAATGAACTACCTGAGGCAGCTAATTTAGTTCCCAGTTTGTGAGGTTCAGAGTTCAAGATCAATCAGGTGAACTCATTGAATTGGCCCCTGATCTGGGCAGCAAATGATGATACATCATGATGTGTGTGGGAAGAGAAAAAAGGAGAGAGAGAGAAAGAGAGAGAGAGAGACTGTGTGTGTGTGTGTGTGTGTGTGTGTGTGTGTGTGTTTTAAGAGCACACCCCCAGTAACCTAAGGACCTTCTCCCAAACCTAAGCCTCCATCTCCCACATCTTCCACCATCCTGGAGACTAAGACCTTTAATCACAATGGATCCTTAGGGGACACCCAGTCCATACCCATGCCATTGTAGCATCTAACAGTCTATTAATTCTATGCCTTCCAGAAAGGGGTCTGCATAGGCTGTCTAAAGGTGATTGCCCTGTTTTCAGATATTCAGGTGAAGTGCATACTTTTTGTTTTGTATTCTAGGCCTCTCTCACTTAACAGGAGAGCTAAAAATTCAAAGCATATATGCTAGAGATTGGTAGGCCTGCTTTTGATCACATGTGTGATAGAAGGAATTTCTGATTTTTATTGTATTTTTGAAAATCCAAGGAACTAGGTAAACTATTACCTATTAGTCTAGATCCTGGGATCATTTGATGTCACTCTGAGGTTTCTTCCAAACAGACCTCAGGAGTGCTGGAAAGGTAGTAGTATATGTGTTTGGGGATGAAGGTTTGTGCCCAATTATTATGCTTCATGTCTGCATCCTTCACCATTGCAAAATATAGGCCTTTATTTTCTCTGTGGCCCTGTATTCCTTGATGGCAATGTTCTGTTTATTTTAGGCAAGGTATTTCTTTGTATAGGACTTTCTCAAATACTACTCTTGGCTCCAGCCCACTAAATTCCAGTCTTTGTGACAACTCTAAGTACCCTTACAGGTTTTCASATGCCATTGAGTACAGTAGAAGTTCCATAACAGACATGATTGGTTTGGTAGTGGTTAATTTAAAAGGTTGGTTTATGTAAGAGAAATATTAAAAAAGATATAATCTATAATCTATAATATCTATAATATTTTAAAATAATTAAATGTACATCTATCCATTGATTTTTTAATATAGAACCAATATCTTACTTTGCTTATTGGTTGCAGTTTCAACCGTTTTTTTTTTCTTTTTTTCTTTTTTTTTTTAAAGAGTGTGAGAGAGAGAATTTTAATATTTATTTTTTTTAGTWTTCGGCGGACACAACATCTTCGTTTGTATGTGGTGCTGAGGATCAAACCCGGGCCGCACGCATGCCAGGCGAGCGCGCTACTGCTTGAGCCACATCCCCAGCCCCCCGTTTTTTTTTTTTTCTATGACATTCATAATATAACTTCTGTGTTTTTGAGTCTTAAAGTAGAACAAGAACATAAAGAACCATCTGAAGCATTCTAGATTTGTCTATTTGTCTCACAGTCTTTTTAATTTTATTTATTTATTTATGTTTTGGGGGGTAGATGGACGCAATACCTTTATTTCTATTTATTTATTTTTATGTGGTGACGAGGATCGAACCCAGTGCCTCACCTGGGCTGGGCAAGCGCTCTGCCACTAAGCTACAACTCCAGCCCTGTCCTTAAGTCTTKTATAGCCATCTCACCCATACTTAATTTTATAGCTTTTTTAAAAAAAATTCACCTTATTAAATCTTTCCAAAACATTCAACACACTTCRTAGCAGCGACACATCCGTTTTATAAATGCTCTAATGTTTATTGGTTCATGTAACATTTAACTAAATTGTCTCTGTTAGTCAGTATTCTATCACTTGACAAATGCCTGAGATGAATCTACTTATAAGGAACCAAAGCTCATGGTTTCAGTCCGTAGTTTCTTGCCCCCTTGCTTGCCGAGGCAGCTCTTCATAGTGGAAGCACGTGGCAGAAGAAACTTCTTTACCTCATGGTAGCCAGGAAGCAAAGAGAGAGAAAGAGGACGGGGCTGGAGTTCCACTGTCCCCTTTAAGGACATCCTCGGTAGTAACCTAACTTCCTTCTACTAGGCCCCATTTTCTAAAAGTTTCATAGCACTACAGACTGGCCACTAAGTAATCAACACATGGTGTTTGGGGGATTTTTAAGTTCCAAATCATAATATTGCTTAATGATACTATGAGTACAACTAAATAACACATATGGTTGTCAGCTACCAGCTGCGAGTACACTGAGCATTAGTCAGTACCTTAGAGGAAAACTAGAATGTGTGTCACTAACTTATGGTTTCATTGCACAAGTTTAGGAACTACCTTTGTACTTCTAATCTGGTACTGCTTTGTGTTCTCACTCTGACTTGACCTCTCTGTTGTTCCTTTTCTGCCCTTGACACCATTTTTCTGGATAATGTCACTTTCTGCTTTCCTAGGTACTCTGTTCCATTAGATAGCTTCTCTGTTCTTTCTTTAAAGTTGCCTCTATTTTGAACACCCTCAAATTTATTCTCATAGCCAAGGGATCTTTTTAACCTGTCAGTCTGTTTGTGTTACTTCTTTGTTAAAAACTTTTCATTTTTATTGAGATGGGGTCCCAACTCTATAGCATGGCTTTCATAATATGAGCTGATCCTGTTCACTGACTTAGCTCTTGCCTCTTCATTTAAAGTTCTGGCTATACTGAATTCTTTTGAGTTTTTCAAAACACAGGGGATTCTTTTATTTGTAAAGTCCTCTGCCTTTTCTGTTGTGTTCTTTTCTGTTTTCTTTTCCTGTGTCTAGATCATTCTACTGGCTTTCCCCACTCCATGCATGCCCTATCCAGGTCTTCTTACTGACTCCCACAGTGTGCACCCAACCAAAACTAGGAGATGCCCTCTTGTGTCCATTGGGGTATTGCGTATCACAGTGGATAGTGATTGTCCTATTCTGATGTTTCCCGATTAGCCAGGAAATGTCCCTGAGGGTAGAGATATTGTTTTCACAGTGCTATTTTTCCTACCTTCCTAGCTGATATGTGGTGTAGGGCTCTTGTAAATATTTGTTGAAAGAATGAATGACCATCAGATTAACCAACAAACAGAAGAGAAAAAAAAAGAAGCCAAGCTAAAAGGCCCCGTTCTGATTTAGTGATGACTTGAGTAATAGATTTAGAGTAAAAAGTCTTTTTTTCTAATGAAAAATCTTTATGCTTTCCCTCACTGTTGTCTGAAGACAGGGTAGATCTTCTTTGAATTTTCTCTTCCTAATCTTACATCATACTATTACTCTACTAAACTTATTTTACATACTACTATATTACTCTATCAAACTTATTTTTCTATTTGATAGGATGTTTATACGATACACTGGATAGTGTATCTACAGGCAAATGAAAGAAAGAATTGACTTCATTTTACAAGTACAGATTTTTCACTGTTTTCATTTGTTCTTTTCCACATTTAACTCCTTTAAGCTTCTAATTTATTCAGTTTGCTTAGAGATGAATACCTTATTGAAGAATCTTGAAAAACTATAAAAATATTTTTAAGATAATTTTCAAAAATTTGATAAGAAAGGGTAAGGGAAACTGTTGGAAGTTACTGAAAGAAAGATATTGATATAAGTGAGGTGAAAATGAGAACTAAGGTGTGAGAGCAGAGTTAGCTTCAAGAGTGAAGACTAGAAACCTGTGTCTATATTGCATTTTCTTAGGTATTTCATCTTCACGTCTTTCTGGGCATATAAGATCTATTATGTCTATGGCTTCATGATGCTGGTGCTGGTCATCCTGTGCATTGTGACCGTCTGTGTGACCATTGTGTGCACATACTTCTTGCTAAATGCAGAGGATTATAGGTGGTAAGTACTTGTGATCAGAAACCCTTAGGTTCATAATATTTTATGATGAGTTTGCTTGTGAAGTGTATCAAACAGAGGAAAAGATCTGGATAAAAATATTGTTACTTAAGATAGCATAGAGATTTTTCTCTTTTTTTTTTTGGTTATAAAAATAAGGAAGATTTTAGAGGAAAAATAATATCAATCAGATTTTTTTGTGCTAATGTTAGAGAGGAAATATTTTTGTAAAGTGCTTAATGTGGAAGGGTTATATGAGGAAGCATCTTTTCATCTTAAGCAGGAATAGCATTAAGTCTGAAAAAGGAAATTTTTTATATTTCATGTCACTTACAATAGGGAAAGTGAGAAAATTCATGATCTCCCCTAATTTTTAGGCTCTCTTCTTGTTGACTTTAAGCACTGTGTACAAACATTTGTTTTTTTAACATACAGAATTTTAAAGGATTTTTTTAAAATAAAATTCTTTGCTTTAAAATTCTTGTTTTTAGTGCCGTTTATTTAAAAGTGTTCTCTCTTCTTTTTCCAGGCAATGGACAAGTTTTCTCTCTGCTGCATCAACTGCAATCTATGTTTACATGTATTCCTTTTACTACTATTTTTTCAAAACAAAGTAAGTGGAGACATTTTCTCATTTTTTCTTTTCAGTTAGAAAACTAAGGCATAAGACCTTATGTTGAAAGCAAAAAAATATGTATACTATATGTAGTTATTTTGTTTTATTGCAGGATGTATGGCTTATTTCAAACATCATTTTACTTTGGATATATGGCGGTATTTAGCACAGCCTTGGGGATAATGTGTGGTAAGTTCTGAAATTCTTGGACCATTATGAGTAAAAGTTAAAGTGTTTCAAAATTAGAAAAAATAGTAATTAGAAGTTAAGAAAGTATTCTGTTGCCAAAATAAATGACCTTCAGTTCTTTTGACTCTTCCTCCAAACCTATTTTATCACCTTAATTTCTATTTTCATAGAAATTTTTAATAATTCCATACCACAATTAGTTTTTTTATTCATGTTAAGAATTGGAATTTTTAAAGTTTTGGTTCGTTGGAAAAAATCATGTGTAGGCAGGTTAAGGTGTTGCCCAGATGACTTCTGTTTGGAAGATCCTCAGACTGTTGATAAGTGGTACCAGTGTGTCGAAGGCAGCATGGTTTACTGACCGTGAGTACATACATGGTTGTCTGCAGACTGGGCTTCACTTCTGACTGTGCCACATGTATTCTCTGCACCTTTATCTGGTGCCCCCTAGCTCTCCAAGCCTTTATAAAATGATAATAATGCTACTTGTTTCATGGGTCTTATCAAAAGGAAGAATAGTTGTCACTGTATGATACAGTCCCTATCATGTGTGAAATACCTAGAAAATAAAGAACTTTTGGAAGCAGCATGTTGAGTGGAAAGGGCGTGAACTTTCCAAAAGTCCAAAAGGCCTAAATGAGCTTTCCATGCTGCTGCTCACCTTTTTTTGTGGTCATGGAAATTACATTGACCTACGACCCCTTCTCATCTATAAAATGAACATATCTTTCAGAGTGGTTGAGAGGAATAGTGTCATATGCAGGCAGCATCAGAGGTAGTGCCTGGACTGTTACTATAAGAGAGAGCTGGTTACACAGGAGAGACATGGTGAGGAAGGGGAAGAGCTGAGCTGAGGCTTCTGGGGTCAGTCAGCCCTGAGTATGAATTCTGTTATCCCTACTTAACAGCCATGCTTTTAAACTGTTCTTCCTCACCTTTCCTCATTTACAAAATAGAAATAAAACCTACCTCTTTGAGTTGACAGAGAATTCAGTAACTGAGTATGGGTGGTAAGTAGAGTTCTTACCTAGCAGATGAGAGGCCCTGGATTTGATCCCTAGGTCTGGGGGAAAGAAAACAACCCCCCCCCAAAAAAAAAAAAAATTAGACGGTGTCATGTACAAGCATCTTAATATCCTCAGGCAGTTAGATGATTCCTTTAGTGTTATTGGCCATCCTTTCTTCAGAATGTTCTTTACTTTATTTGAGCTCTTTCTTGATTGTCATCAGCATTCAAGGAGGTATAGAATTAGGTGATTCTGAAGTGTGTAAAAAGTTTTTCTGGCCTTGAGTTTTTCTATATGTGATCGTTGGAAGACCTAGAGAAGTATTATCTTGTCATTTACAAAGAAAATGGAATAAATCTAGCTAATTTTTTTTTAGTGCTTTTCCCAGTGAAATTTCATCTTGCTTCCTAGAAATCTTGGCAGTTCCCTGCCACTTTGGCAGTGTACCAGTGTTCATTCTTGAATGGGTTTTGTATGCCTTTGGAGCTGGGTGAGGGGGTAGAGATTACTGTTCAGACTGGAACTGATCATAATCATATAAAAATTATGCATACCCATCAATTTATGTTGCTGTATTGTTTAATTCAGTAATTAAAAGAAAGCTATGTGTTTAGAAAAAAGAAACGACTACATCAAGTTGTTATTTGTTTAGATTGTTATAGTCTGTATATAATAAGCATAGCATTTCTATTTTAAAGAAATTAAAAGTACATCTCTCTTATTCCTAAGACATTTGCTTTTCTAGAGGGCATATTTCAACATCCTTTATAATAATGTTTTATAAAGTTATACTTTTATGAGTTTATTCTTGAGATACTCATAAGATTAGGAAAAATGATTCTCTAGGTCTATAATATTTTGATTTTAAGCATATCTGCTCAAAGGGGAACAATATTTTGTACATCTAGAAAATTAGATTTGGTTATTTAATTTGTGTTTTATTTTTCCAGTGAAGTTTTTTGATGGTAATTAAAATTTTATAGATATTTTTATGTTCTAAGAATCCAGGTTTATTTTTATAAAATTGAATGATTTTTATCTTACATTAAGAATTTTATTATAACTTTTTAAATGCATTATCAGTATTTTGAAGTGTAATATCACTATTTCATATTATAAAAGAAATATCTGTCATTGAAAAAATATAGGTTTACATTGTCATTTTGGTGGACTTTTTGCATTTTTAATATTTCATTATGAGAAAATTTTCAAACATACAGAAAGAGGGACAATAATGTATACAGTGAGACCCCATGTACCCAATACCCAATATCAGTAATTATTGTCTCATGGCCAATCCAGTTTTATTTATATCCTCATTGCATTCCTTTTATTCTGATATTAATCTCAGGCTTTATGTCATTTTAGCTGTAAATATTTCAATGTATCTATCTCTCTAAGCATAATTTTTTTCTTTTAAATGAACCTTTATTTATTTATTAAGACCTTTATTTATTTATTTATTTTTATGTGGTGTTGAGGTTCAGACTCAGTGCCTTGTGCATGCAAAGCAAGCACTCTACCAACTGAGCTATATCCCCAGCCCTCTAAGCATAATTTCTTAATATGACAAAATATTCATTGAGTATTCAAATTTACCCAACCTATCCCCACTTGCTTTTTAATGCAGTTTGTTTGCATAATAAGCCAATTAAGTCTCATCCATTGCTTGGTTTAAATGTCTCTTAGTGAGCTGAGGATATAGCTTAGTTGGTAGAGTGCTTGCCTCACATGCACAAGACCCTGGGTTCAATCCCCAGCAGCATACACACACACACACACACACACACACACACACACACACACACACAATACACAAATGTCTCTTGGCTCTTCTGACTATATATGGTCCTTTTCTTTTCTCTTGCTGTTTATTTTCAAAATATTTATTTATTTATTTAAGTTTTCCGTATTCTGGTTATATTCCTGCTGATTGTATCTGTGAGGTGTCATTTAATGTTTTACCATGAGTGTCCCCCAACCCATACTTCCTATTAAGTACTAGTTAGAGCTTTAACCATTATAATCCCCAGTACTTGTCCAAGAATACTTAACAGGTGGTTTGTAAACTTTCATTACATCGTGTATGTCCTGTCTGGGCCTCTCTGTATGTGAGGTTAGCAGCCATTGACAATTATTGCCTACTTGAAATAATTAATTAGTGGTCATAATAATCTAATTCTGTTGTTACTTTTGTATTTATTAGGTGGGATACTTCTATATGGAGAGCCTGCCTTCATCAGCCATTTGGTTACCTTGAGGGTACAGTTCATGTATAGGAGATGCAGGGTAGATACATGTTTGTTTCTTTGCTTTCATTCACCAGTTGGGTGAATAAAAGATGGTTCAAAAGTGACCAGTTAGGCACATGTGTGTGTACCATTTTTTAATTCATGGACAGTTTACCTTAAAACTAAGAAAACTGAGCGAGGTAGTGAATTCCTAAATCTAGTAGAGAATTTTCTCTGACACTTATTCTAAAGAATCCCAAGTATTTGTAGTAAGGAACTATCCAATTTGTTCATTCGTTCAACAAATACTTATTGAGTACTTTTTCATGTACCAGTCACTACTTTAGACGTGGGAGGTAGATACTTTATTAATAAAATGACAGATATCACTGCTTTCAAAACTGCTGATTTACGTACCTATATCTCTTGTCCATTTCTTCAAATATGTTATCCTTTCTACCACAGACACACAGCTTCTAACTTAAACATAAGAAGATGTTAGAAAGTACCTTTTCTCTAGCACTATAGAAGCCACTGGGCAAGGGTTCTATGTTCCTCTCTGAGACTATCCCTCTTCACTTCTTACTTTTTTTTTTTTAATGTTTTGTTTTAATTGGACATAATACCTTTATTTTATTTTTATGTGGTGCTGAGGATGAAACCCAGCACTTGCTAGGCGGACATTCTACCGMTGAGCCACAACCCTAGGTGCCCCCCCCCATGATGTATCAATTTCATAGTTACTGATTATACAAGTAATAATTGCTATTTGATCAAAAAAATTACATTAGTTCAGACTTGGTATCTGATGGTAACAGATACTTTGCAAAGCAAATGATATATAGTTCAGTAAGTTCAAAGAGAATGCTAATGTAAAGACATTATCTTAGAATAATGTTTGTGTAAATAATGGATACTGCTCTATGTTTGTTTTAAAACATCTTATTTTATCTTTGCAGGAGCAATTGGTTACATGGGAACAAGTGCCTTTGTTCGAAAAATCTATACTAATGTGAAAATTGACTAGAGACCCAAGAAAACCTGGAACTTCGGATCAATTTCTCTTTCATAGGGGTGGAACTTGCACAGCAAAAAAAGCGCAAGAAGAGATTTGGGCTTAACACTGGGTACTTTGTGGGTCTCTTTCGTGGATGGCTTAAAGTAACATCTATTTCCATTGATCCTAGGTTCGTACTGACTGCTTTCTCCAACTGTTCACAGCAAATGCTTGGATTTTATGCAGTAGGCATTACTACAGTACATGGCTAATCTTCCCAAAAACTAGCTCATTAAAGATGAAATAGACCAGCTCTCTTCAGTGAAGAGGACAAATAGTTTATTTAAAGCATTTGTTCCAATAAAATAAGTAGAGGGAAACTTGGATGCTAAAATTACATGAGTAGAAATCTTCCTGGCACTTAGTGTTTCTACATTATTGAAAAATGATGTTCCAGAAAGATTACTTTTTTTCTCTTATTTTTACTGCCATCGTCGACCTATTGTGGGACATTTTTATATATTGAATCTGGGTTCTTTTTTGACCTGTTATAGGTTTTTTTCTCCTCCAGTTCAACTGCATCCTTTTTTTAAAAAAAGAGAATTAAAAAATATTAAATTCTGCATGTAATATATCTGCTGTCATCTTAGTTGGACCAGCTTCCCGTTTATTTATCTTAAAATTATCCAGTTATATCTTAATTCCATCCAAAGAAGATACAGTCTGAAGATAGAGGTGTACTCTCTACAATGCAATTTACTGTACAGTTAGAAAGCCAAGTGTTAAATGGAGAAGATAAGTTGTTTTTATTAAACATTTTGAGATTTAGATAAACTACATTTTAACTGAATGTCTAAAGTGATTATCTTTTTCCCCCAAGGTTAGTCTTAAAATCTTTTTTTGAGTTTGAATGAAGGCTTTACATAAGAAATTATTAAAAGCAAGGGGGTGGGTAATAAATGTATATAACATTAAATAATGTAACGTAGGTGTAGATTCCCAGATGCGTTTGGATGTACAGATGGACTATGGAGTACTTTTTTCTGATGATGATTGGTGTAGAAATGTGTGAATTTGGGTGGCTTTTTACATCTTGCCTACCATTGCATGAAACATTGGGGTTTCTTCAAAATGTGTGTGTCATACTTCTTTTGGAAGGGGGGTTGTTTTCTTCTGTTTCTTTTCTGAGACTCCTACAGGAGCTAAATTTGTAATTTAGAAACATTTAATTTTGTTAATCCTGTCTGGGACACTTAAGTAACATCTAAAGCATTACTGCTTTAGAATGTTCAAATAAAATTTCCTGACCAAATTGTTTTGTGGAAATAGATGTGTTTGCAATTTGAAAGATAACTGTTCAAAAGGCAATATTACTTAATGCCAGTTATTTTTTAATAGACTATAAAATATGCCTTTCTAATACAGAGGACCCTCACTTCAAAATCCCCAAACTGTCATACATCTAGAATATCCAGTATAGTCACAAAGTGAATGACAAACCTTTTGAATGAAACTATGGTGCAAAATCTGTTAGGTTGGTATAACGTGGAAAGTGGGGTGGGGTATAAGTGGTTAGCAAATATAGGTTACAGTTTTCTAAGAGATTTTAATTTTTATTACATTTTTCCCAGAACTATCCATAATGTAAAGTTTTCCTAGAACCACTGAGTTTCTAGTTTAATGGTTTGCTATGCAAATGACCACCTAAAACAATACTGTATATTGGTATTTTTAGAAAGTCTCAAATGAGTTGTATTAAACCTTAATGTGAAAATCATGTCAATAATAATTACATTAGATGTTTTCATTACAAAAATATATTTCTATAAAGTAATGGACTCCATATCCTATGTTGTAGCATATAAGACCTATGAAGAGTGAATTTCTCACCTCAAGTGTGGTTGATATAAACAAACAGAAACTGTAGGTAGAACTTCTTTTTCAAGACAGAATGTGATATTAAATGTAATCCACTGGTTCTTCCACTTTGTCTTCTCACCTGCCTTTATGATCTTGTAAGAAAAGAAACTAAAAGGCAATATTTAATTGCTTATATTGTGTAATTTTTTAACATGTTAGAGCACTCTTAGTATAAGAATATAGGCTATCTGATGGAGTATAAACTGAATGGCAAACTTTTGTCTTAATCAAAATGCAGTTTATTTTTGTGATATGATTCTTGCAGGTAAGATATAAGATTGAGAATATGTTTAGCTGCTTTCAGTTGCACCAACTCTACTAAGTTGAGCTGTATTTGACATTCTTTGGAATCTAAAAAATGATTTTCTAGTTTCCAAATACATTAAGAACATCAACATTAACATAAATCACTTTGAAAAGTCCTTTAGAAAAAGGCTCATTGGTTTGTGGCTTCATAGAGAGGTAAATATATATGTGAGTCTTGAAAAAGATATAGTTTACAAATGGTTTAGCTCCCTAGCACTCATCAGTTGTAGAATAGTAAAGTAAAATATTATTTAAGTTAATTGAAAAGTGGGGTTTTTCTACACTCCATCAATGCTGCATATGTCTTCGATTTGCTAACGTTGGCTCAACTGACACTATCAAAAACTAAGGATAAACTTTCTCTGTCTTTAAGCATGCTTCTCCTGAAATTTAACTACATTAGTAGTTTACATTGCTTCATATATCTGCTCATCCAAGGGTAGGATAAAGTAAAACTGTAACAAAAGGAAGGTGGTAAAGTTTTCTTCAGTATGTACCATGTTGGGTTCTTAGATGGTACTGGGTTTGCCCATAAATCAAATCCCATACTCTTAAAATTCATTTATTGTGGTGATGTCTGAACCTAGTGAATGGTATACTCGGGTATTTTCCTCTGAAAGTGGATAGACCTCTTTATAAAGGTGGTTGCTGCAAATTCCAGTTCTTCCAAAAGCCACTTTTAGGGTTTATCCACAAATTATATTCATTTTGATATAGCTTTTGTTTCCTAAATGTTTACCAACCACCATATGCCAAATGTCTTGCAAATAAATATTATTTTAAAGTGTCCTCAATTTTTACAAATGTAAAAAGATACAGCATATTAATGTAACTTGTTCAGGAAAAGCTACATACTGAAGGGCTTCTGTATATGAATTCTAAGGGGGAAAGGCCTGTTTGTAAAAAATCTATACACCGCAGTTCCATCTGGGTTTTAAGTTTAGATTTCAGTGTGTCTTAGTGCTTCATTCTATTGGTTTATTGGAACATACAATAAGTAGGAGTAGTGCTGTATAAAAACAAATATTCATTAATATTTTATAAAAGATCTTCATTAAAGTTCTATAATTATGAAGCTATGTTTTAATAATCAAGAGTTAATCAGAGAAGTGGAAATTTAGGAAGATTGTTTGAAAATGTGTACAGAAATAGACTAGATTTGCAGATAGAGTAGATCAGAGTTAACATTATACCTGCAGAAATTTTTAAGATTTAAATTCAGTCTGAGTAATAAGTCTAGTTCTCTCCTTTGAGCATTCCCTAAAAGGTATCTGATTTGACATTCTTAGAGCTGCAGATAGAAATATACAAAGACAAAAATAAAATTAAGTTCTCATTCACTGTTAGAAAATGGCAACAAGAAACTTGTGAAACTGACTTATAATGAAGTATTGGTGAACTAGGCTCGTAGTAACTGACCGACTAAGCATAGTTTATGTTTACCCTAGTTCTTCAGTTTAGATTATTTGAGAGTTATAAAGATTATTAAGAGCTTAAGGCAAGGAAGAAAACATGGAATTCTGTTGGAAGGACAACAGAGCATTCTTGGAAAAGCAATCCCACTTGGGCGTTTCATCTGTGTTAAACTTGAACCTATAAATCCCCACAGAGCATGGACAATCGACAGAGTTGGAAGGAAACGATTTTTGCCCGATGATCACTTCCATTTTGTATACACCCTTGGTTTGTGTAGGCCATATTCTAGCTGGCTTTTCAGTCATAAAAATCCAGTATATAATGTATCAGATACAATTGAGGTTCTAATCTAGTCTGTTAATTTATCTGAAGTTGGATTTTTAAAAAGTAATAAAAAGTTAAATGTACTTCCCTTGGATGCTTTGTTTCTTTCCTTTTTGAAACAGGTGAACCAGGCATAAGGGATCACCAACTATTATTGGCACACATATTAAGAGATTACTGATAGCTTTCTGCAGTTAAATAGAGCAGGAGTCAGAAACTGTTGAGAGCCAGGCAGTAAATAATTTAGTTATTGAAGGTCCTGCGGCCTGTCACAAGTATTCTGTCACAAAGCACCTATCACGGGTAGTACATACATAAACCAGCACTACTGTATTCCATTGAATGTACAAAAGAAACCCTCTGGCCATAGTTTGCTGGCCCATGAAATGAAGATTTAAAATTTAGGGTGTGGATTTTTTTCCCCAAGATTTATATTTTGAAAAAAAAAAAAGTCAATGTACTGAGAAGTTGGAAGAATAGTTTTGTTCCTTTAAAAAAATGATCTTTTTTTTCCTTCTATTACCATTTCATTTGACTATAAGCTTTGGATCCTCTACTCAAGCCCTTCACCCCTGTCCTGATTTTGTCCCTCTCCTGATTGATAACACATCGCCTTTTGTCTACTACTTTTTACTTCTTCAAAGACATTTCATGTGTATCCTTAGTTTCATGTGTATCCTTAACCATCTAGGAAGCTGGAAGGGTACACTAGAGTCTAAGTCGCCTAAAGAGGCTCTTATTTTTAGTCCAAAAATAATCAAGATCAAGGCCCTGTTGTCTTGGTGATTGTAACGGTAAAATGGAGGTGTCAGCTTCCTAGCCTAAAGCAATGGATAATGCCTGGAAAGTCACATTGAATATTAGTGTCCCTGCAAATAGAGGGGATTATTTGTAATGCGCTAAGTTGAAATCAGTGTAATTTTTCCAGGTCTATTTTTACTTTTTTATTTTCATATTTTTAACTAGTTTTCATGATCTTTATTAACTTATTTCGTTCTTTTCTCCCTCTAATTTTATTAGCTGCCTTTATGTTCGGCAATTTCTGTTAGCCAGATTATTAGTACAAACTTGGATTACTTCTGATTTTTAATGAACATTATGTCTGGTTGGAAGACTAAAGGTAGAGGGATCTACTATGCAGTCAACTTCTCCATTTCAAAATTTAAGTTGTTAAATCTATGATATAACATTAGGAAAGGAGGAAATATACCTACACTGGATCCCATGGAGTCAACAAGTCTAAAAATGTATTTAAAGTCATTTGATTGTTTTAAATGATTTTCCTTTTCAAAGTCTGCATACTTTATGGTGAAAGGGGTTTCAAATGAAAACAAATGGAGGTAGTTGTAGGGAGAAGTTAAGTCATTTTAACTGGCCAGTGTTACTCCATATAATAACAATCTAAGTCACTGAGGTTACTTGACTTGATTCTGAAGGTTGGTGAAGGAAGGTGAAGGTCTAGAGAGTGAGACATGGAAGGTGACTCCTAGCTGGATTTGGTCAGAGAGGTGTGCTACAGTTAGAGACCAGTAGGGTAGGGCAACCCTGTTGAATAGGCAAGGACTGTGGATGTAATAGTTGCTATATTCCATGCTGGATGTAGGGTCTGTGGCTATCAATCTTTCCCAGGCAGAGACTTGGAGATATGAGATGGCACGACCCCATTAGGATGACTAGGTATTTACAGGGGCAAGAACATTGTGGGAGATGGCAGGAGCCCGTGCTGGGAAGGTAAGAGAAAGGCCTGAAGGTGAATTCAGGGCCTGGTTTGTTACCTCCAGCAGGGACAAAGGTTTTGAAGAGCCACAAAGGGTCTTAAGTACTTGCTAAAAATATTAACAATTTTTTTAATTGCCTTCTCTAAAGAGCATAGCACCTTTTCAGTGGTCATCAGTGTAAAGGAAGAAATGAGCTGGTAGGGGAAAGTGCCCATTTCATTGTGGAAATTCTACCCTCTATACTGAAGGAGGTTTTTATATATAGTGATCTGGAAAGGTAAAATGATAAGTGGTCAAGATGATATAACTACAGAGGATCAATTCAGTTGTCTGAGAGGGGTCTGAGAGCACTGAAATGAACCTAGTTACTTTGGGCATAGGGGTACAGATGGAAGAAGCTGGCAGGGTAAGACATCTCACCAAGCAACGAAAATCCACTTGCAGGTTTTCTACTGGACCTGGAGGTAATGGGGAGGAAACTCTCTATGTGAGAGAGTAAAATGGAACTAAATTGAGCAGCTTTAGGTCATAGAGCCTTTTATTTTAAATTTACTCAGGTTTTTTTCCCATGGGATTTAAATTAAAAATGTATTTTTTAAAATTATTCAAACCCAGAATTTACTGTAAAAATGATGAGTGAAATCAGGAGCTGTAGAATTAAATATTGACCATCCCTGTTATTCCTAACAATCTAAATATTTTATTGCTGTTTATTGATAGAGCAAAGTAGCATCTAAACAGGCCTTCTGACATAAAACTGTACAGTTTGCTCATCCAGGAGCACCAGCCTTCAAAATATTTGGACAAAAGGTGTTGATGAGAAGATCTGGTAGCTCCTCATTCGGTGGGTTGCAGAGGCAATAAAAGCTCACAACCTCAGTGCATCCCAAGAGGTGGTCTCTCATCTATTTTCCTCTATTTAGAGGAATTCCCTGCTAATGAGGAAGCCAGTTGGCTGTTTGCCTAGTGCCATCTGGAGACCTGCAAGTGTCACAGAAGTTTGTTAGGCCTTTTAGATGTTGACTTTGTGGACTTGTCTACTGACAGGTGGTGACCTTCACTGGGGTGAACTCAGAGAACTATGGCGTTGGGTTTGACTCCTTTCAGCATTCAAGCAGAAATGCTGTTCAGTTGCCTCCCACACCTATTGCCTATTTTGTGGCCACTTGGCCTTCCCTGCCATTTGGTGGTATTGCCCCTCCCCCCTCTGCATTCCCTCCTCCCACCTGCCAGTTTCTAAACAGATCTTGCCCAATCTGGCTCCATTCTATGTGTACCCATTTGAAAAGAACTTGGGTAACAGGCAGAGATAGAGGAGGCTCTGCATTTCTTTGAAGATTCAGGACAAAATAATCCTACAATACCTTCCAGTGGTTATGCTTTTACCTTTTCCTGGTTTGAAGGAATTATCTAGTTAATAGGTGAGAAAACATAAGAAATTGAGAATCTGGTGTAAAGCCCAGCTCAGTGTCTCATGTGAACTATTTTGTCATTAGTGGTTGTAAAACCATATGGAAACTCCAAAGAAAAGTTCAGTCTAATTTTCTGCTTTCAGTCTGAATGCAAGAAGATTCTACTGGTGTGTTGATAAAAGCCTCTGCATGTACATATTGCTGTGTTATACTTAAGGCAATTCTGCTTGCATAAAAAGATTTTTGAAAAGCAAATGATAATGTCTCTAAATCAAGATGGCTCAGTTCTGACAATTTTTACACATAAGGTACAACATTCAAAACATAGGTTTCATTTTTTTTTTTTAAATTTTGCTCCTAAGCTATCTGGGCATATGTTTTTCATTGGGGGAAAAATCCAGAAATTGGTCATTTTTATTCCACTAAATTAATGGTGAGGAACTTATTTGATAAAACATGTCTGTAATTCAACACAAAAAGCATGTTCATTTGTTCTTTTTGCCTGTGGGAAACATCTTAGACTATTTTACTAAAGGATAGGGTCACCTAAAGGGGAATTCTGTCGTCTTAAATCGTTCTTCTTTACACGTCATCAGCCAATACATGAGCTTGGGTGGGTACTGCAACAACTGGAGGAGGGGATGTTGAGAGAGCTCAGAGAATCCCTGCTTTTTCCTGCGGTGAGAGGGACTGTATCTCTTCAGAGAAGCGATGGTCTGAAAACACACTGCGAGTTGGTAGAGACGCGAACCGCTCAAATAGGGCTGCTGGTTGTGTTCCTGCCTTCGTCCACGTGTGCCTCGGGGAGTTGTAAAGTGAGTTTTGAGAATAAGGCGGGAAGCCCAGGTTTGATATCCTGGAGCTACGTTCCCGAGGGCCGAAGGCCAAGGTGGCATCCGACCAAGGGCGCCTTCCACTGGGTGGGCGCGCCGCTGGTCCCCGGCCCTTGCCTTCAGCATCTTCACCTTGCTCCCCTTCCTCCGAAGTTGCGGAGGTGCCGGGAAGAGGAGGGGCCTCGTCTCGGGCGCCCGAGTGATTGGTTGTCCGGGGTCCTTGGCGAGGGCTCTGTGGTCCAGCCCTGGTGGAGAGGGGCGGAGCGGCCACTGCTCCAACCACCGCCGCCACCGCTACAGTCGCAGCCGCCGCAGCCCCGGCCGCTGGGCAAGTCACACCGAGCGGCTGCTTTCCGGGTGCCCCGACACGGACAGGGGGCGCCGCGCTCAGCTCGTTTTGCGCCAGAGCCATGCCCGGCAGCCGCGTGTAACCGCCGAGCTTCGACCGCCGCGAGCCCACCTCGTGCACCGTCCCTCGCCCGAGCCGAGCTTTCTGTGCGCGCAACTCTCTCGGCCCCCGCCGCCCCGCACCACCATGCCCCGGGCKACTGCCTTTGGGGCCCCGGTGTCACTGCTCCTGCCGCTCCTGCTGCTGCTGCTGTTGCCGCTGCCCCGCGGCACTGGGGGGCTGGAGGAGCGCTTGGACGTCGCCTCGGACTATTCGGCTCTGGAAGGCGAGGAGGGTGCGGAGCAGCAGCTGGAGCATTACCACGACCCGTGCAAAGCCGGTAGGTGCCGTCGCCTCCGGGGAAGTCCGGCAGAAGTTTGCCTTTGAAATGCAAATGAGTGGTGGGCAAGCCTGCGCTGCAGTCTGTGAGGCTGGTCTCCCCTCCCCTCCCTGGAGATGCCCCGGGTTCCCCGGGAAAACAATGCTTACTAGGAGCTGCTTAAATACCCCTCTGAGCCCTGGACGTTCCGTCAGGTTTGCTGCGCTCACCGGGTGGTGGCCGCAGGGACGTTCCCAAAGCGAATCGAGTTGAGTACCCGAGGCCGAGAGGGCGCTGAGGGTCCGAGGCTGCCTGTCAGCCGAGGGTTCAGCACCGGCCGCCGCCGGACGCTTTGGGCTGTAGCAGAGCAACCGGCTGGGCGCGGCGCTCCCGGGCTCAGATGGAGTTGCTGGCTCTAGCTTCACAGCATTTGTAAGTTTTGCTCAAAGTTTCCCAAGATCTGTAGGTACTGTTGGGAAGAAATTTTAAGAAGAAAGAGAAAAGCTTCACGGTCTGTAGAAGGAAAGATTGCCTAGGAAGAATGCGCAGGACTTGAATTGCGGCAAACTTCCCGGTAGTCCCCTCAGCATCGTCCTGGCCCGGAGATGCCCTGGGCGGGCGGAGATGGAAACCGGCAGGTGCTCTAATCCCGCCAGGAAGCGGCGCCCGGGATGCGCGCGGCTTCTGCTTCCCGCGAACTACCAACTAGCTAGGGGTTCTCTGGGTAGTGGCTTTCGAGCAGGAATCCTTGAGTTGTCAGCCCCAGAAGGACCCAAGCTCAGGTTCCAAAGATAGCTGAAGGGGCAGTTCCCAGCCAGGCCAGGGGGTTGCTCTCCTCCCGGGGAGGTGCTGGGCTCAGAGGACCCCACTCCTGCTCTGGGCCAGGGGCCCGAGGGTAGTGGTGTTTATCTCTGAGCATTGTCTAGCCAGTGTCACTTAGCGGCCAGCTGAGACAGCAGAAAGAGGTAAGCCGTCACCCTCAGAAGGCAGGTTGCGTCTTCCAGGTCTGTGCCAGTGTCATGGTCCACAGCTGCATTCTCTCCTTCCTCTTTCAGCCTCGTTTCCTCATCTCTAAATTGGGGAGCAAATAGGAAGGCTCAGATGATTTATGGAAAAATTCTTTTCCAATGGAATGATGATGATAGCATTTTAGTTATTTTTATTGTTACTGCAGTGGCTCTGGGATAGCCTGGGTGGAAACCAGAGGAAGTCAGGAAAGAAAAGGTTTCTAAGAGGCTAGAGGACCTAGGGAATTTGTGAGACCTCAAGATTACGTAAAGGTTGAAGATCAAACCAGGCATGAGGAGCCTGGTTTTACCACAGAGAAGATTCTTGCAGAATATCCACCTAGTGCTATGTCTTGTGGGTCTTCTGAGTTGGGAAGGTGGGCAGAAGTAATTCAAGAGAATGTCAGCAGGTAGCATGCAGTGCCTCAGGGAACATCACTCATAGCCAAGGGAGAAGGGTATCCAGAGTGCTGTTGGGATGGCTGTGTGGCTCTGAAAAGAGGGTACTGAGTTTGGGAGAATGGGGCAGGGGTGGATCAGCCACCAGTGACACCTGTCAGGTACTAGTCTTTGCCAGGTGGGAGCTGGCATTTGTGGAAGGCAGTCCAGCAGCTGGTGCTCAGGAATAGGTTGAGCACCTGCAGTATGTTGGATGCTGGCCTGGACACCGCAAATCCAGAGGTAAAAAAGACACAGTGTGGTCTGTGAGAGCTTCCCAGCCTTGTCTCAGCCTTGAGGGAGATCCCTGAGGCAGTGTAGTCTGATGGGGCCTCATTTTCTCTAGCAGTTTTGGAGAGAATGTTGGATAACCAGGGGCACGCATGTTCTGCAACTGTTGCCCACAGGATGGGATGGGCTGGCAGGGCGAAAACGTGGAGGATCCTGGGAGTGTGGTTTCAGTCAGCTCTGTATCCTCCCAACCCTCTGGCCTCTCTGGGCTGTGTGATGCTGAGAGTGGCCAGAAGAGGGCAATGGCAAGGGAGACCTARGGAGAAGGAAACAATCTCATTCTACCCAATCTCATGGAAATTCCTTGATCTAGGGAACAGCCATATGGAAGGGCAACAAGCAGTTCAGAGGGCACTGAAGTCTCAATGAAAGGATTTGCCTTTGTGCTCAGCTGAAGGGAACTGCACTTCCTGGTTGCGTATTTAAAGCAAACCTTTAAGAGCAGCTCATTCCTGTCTCAGCCAGAAGCCCTTCTCCTGGGATCTGCTTCAGGGTTTCTAATCTAAAATAGTTCCCACATGTCTCTTCTCCATTGTGGGTCTCCATTCTCTGTGGATCCCACTTGCAGAGGGGAGAGACTTGGATCTGTTCCTGGCCTCTCAGTAGCTGTGTCACCTTGGACGCATCCCCTGTGGAAGGAAGATTTTGGTCTTGTTAAGAATGACAGTTCTGGGGTACTTTCCTCTTGGTTCTCATCAGCCATCTTGCCCTGGGACCACTTCACACCTAACAGGCATTTGAGCCCCCYAGTTCCTTCCTATTCAGTGTTTTATGGTTTTGTGACCTTTGATTCCAGCCAGGCTTTCAGAGGCTGAGCAAACTTGCAAGTGTTATATGTACTATTTACAATGTTAATGTTTACAGTTCATCACTTTTTCAATTTACTTTTTACCATTTTTACCAGTTTACCATTTATTTTACCATTTGCTCTACCGTTATAAGTTGCATGACCTTGAACAAGTCATTTGATTTATAATTTCCGACAGATGGAAGTGCTTAAAACAGTGGTTGGACACATTGTTAGGTATTTTATAAATAGATTTTCTAGAAATATGTGGAAAGAACATCTTCATGCAGATCTTTTGAAGCAGATTTTAAGCTGTAAATTCTATATTTACTAATAGATAGTCTTTGATGCTGTGAAGGGGGATGACTTTTAAATCAGATGATTATGGAGTGGGACTGAATCTGTGAAGCACTCCTGGCCTGGGACTGGTGAGGGACTTTGTGTTTCTGGGGTACATACTTTTGTCCAGTGGTTTATAGCTCTGCTATTTTGCTTTTACTCTGATTCAGACAGAACAACCCTGTACTATACAGTAAGTCACAACAACCTCCCCACCACCAGGCCTCTGAGAGCAAAGCTTGGTGTGCCTTCCGCTGCTGCCTGACCTCATCCATAGCTCTTTAAGTAGATTCAAGCCAGAAGGCCTGGATCCTTATCAGACCTTGCCTCTTACTCTCTGTGTGACTGATAACAAGTCATTTTACTTCTCCATGCCTCAGTCTCCCCATCTGCAAAATGGAGATGAGAGCAAAAATACTTGTCTTGTAGGCTAGATATAAGGCTAGTTTTATTTGAATTCATCAGAGAGCAAGGCCTTATACAAGGACTTGTGTGTAGACAGTGTGTTTGGAAAGCAATCCCAGGAACCAGAGGGGAGGGAGCAGGAAGGGTGAAATAGAGAAGGAAATTCCATGTAGGGAGTAGGATTGAGGTAGCTGTTTTATGTGATGGGATTTTGACCTCAATGGGACCTCAGAGAAGCTTACAGAATATTTCCTAGAATTATCTGCCCAAAGGATAGGAGGCTGGAGCATTTATCCAGAGGCTGCTCCCTTCGTTGTTTGCTCCCGGATCCAGTCTCTATTCCTGTACAAGAGACCACCCCCAATTCAGTGATGTAGAACAATCACCATGTTCTTATTTCTGGAGTCTGTGGATTAGGAATTTGGAATGGACCCAGCAGCATGGCTTTTGTCTGTTCCATGTTGTCTGAGCCTCACCTAGGAAGATTTGCAGGCTGGAGTGACTCACCAGCTAGGGACTAGAGTCCTCTGGAGGCTCGTTCACTCACATGTCTGGCAGTTGAGACGGCTGTTGCCTGGTATCTCAGTTGGACTGTTGGATAAAACATCTGCAAATGGCCTCTTGTGGTTTCTCTGTGAGTGCTAGTTGGGCTTCCTCATAGCATGGCCACTGGACTCTAAATGAACCCATGAGAAACAGATGGAAGCTATAGTGCCTTTGATGGTCTTACTTTGGGGTCATGAATCATCACTTCCACTGTGGTCACAAGCCCTCCCAGACTCAAGGGAAAGGAACAGAGACTCACCTGTCCAATGGGAAGAATGTCACAGTCACATTGTTAAACAAGAATGTGGAATAGGAGATATTGTTGTAGCTGGTTCAGGAAACTGTGACCTGCCATCCTCCTGCACATCCAGGCTTTGTGGGCCCTCCAGGTTCAGAAATTCCTAAAGCAGAAATGTGGGGAGACATGGAGTGAAGGCATGGAACTGCCCAGAGTTGAGCTGAGGGCATGTGACTCAGGTCACCAAAATTGTTTACATGAGGCTCAGATTATGTGAAAGTGCTTGTATAGCCTTTGAATTTATTAAATCCAAGGGAACCTGTGGGAAGCCAGCTTTATGTTTCAGCCAGTGGTTGGACAGGTGCCAGGGCTTCCTCACAGCTGAGTCCTGGGTTGGTGATATGATAAAGTTGGTGGCACCTGATGATGCATGGCTCAAGAGCCAGTGGTGAGGGTTGTGGCCTGGGAACTGGTCTATTTCTTTGTGAGCAGGTTTAGATCCCTTTCACACTTTCAGACCTTACTTCTGCCTGGAATTTGGGGCCTCACTCCACCTTGTCGTTCTCTCAGGATGCTTTACTAATCAGGTGTGTTTTGGAGGGGGTCACCTAGAGCACTCTCTGGGGCATCTCTTGCCAGCAGCCATCACATGGCTGATGTAAGACTAGAATGTTAAACTTTACAGAGTCGGGGATTTTGTCACAACGCCGGTACCTACCGTATCCAGCATTCTGAAGGCATTGGTCATCATCTGTTGTACCAGGGAGGAGTGATTCAGGCCCTGTGTGGGTTGGGTCCTTTGCTGATGGAACTCCATACTTGCTGTCAGCCTGACAGGAAAAGTAGCCCTGGCCAGAGGGCTGCAGACCTCATGAGAATTCCTGGAGCTCTTGGGCCCCAGGGCAGGGCTTTTCCAGCCTTTCTACCCTTCATGGCAGGCACCAGCACCCTGGTTCCTATGCAGAGCTGA